AAAGTTGGTCCACTTTGCTTGCCCCCTTTCCCATCAGCCTGCCCCCCTGGCCTCCTGGACTTAGAGTGGTCAGATCCTGCCTTCTGCATTCCTGGGGGGAGAGGACCCCTTTCCCCTGCAGAGAGAGCACCGAGTCTAAGATTCATTCTCCTTCCTCCATCTGCACTGCCAGGCTCTGATTACCGCTGTGTTTCTATCTCCCTGCTCACGGGCTCCCTCCAGCAGCCCTGGGAAGTAGACAGAACACCATTCATCAAAGGTTCCTCTCACGGTCTCACAGATAAGGGAGCTGAGCTCACCCTGGAGGGTCACGGGATGGCACGTGGCAGAGCCGCTGAGGACCCAGGCCTCAAGGGCAGGGCATCCCTTCCTCCCACCAAGTGATTGCCATTGCCTAGTATTGGGACAGGATGGTAATGCAATGACCAATCAACAGTCCTTTGTTCTCTCTGGCGGGGACTGGCATGGAACAGCATACCTGCCCCCACGTGAGGAACAGAGAGCTCAGCAGACACAGGTGGAAGAGGTACCCGGAGCCCAGCCCCCCAGCCAGCCCCGCAGGATGGCAGCAAGAATCCCGCAGGATGGCAGCAAGAATCTGCCATCCTGGCACTTCCCTCCTTGTTGTGCTTTGCTGTTTGTTTTCCTCTCGTTTCCTAGTAAAGGTTTCAACTTCAACCTTGTCTCCCAGGAGCTAAGGGGAAGCAGGGCGATGCTGGCGGGGTGTGGGCTGGCCCTGGGATCCAGCCTGCTGGGAGGGGCCTTCGCTGACTGTACTTGGGGAGGAAGAGACCCAGAAAGCTGTGGGTCAGGCTCCAGGGACCAGGCAGCCCCTCCCTCCCAAGCAGCTGCCTGTGCTGCCCTTGGCCATTGACACTTGGAGTCTTCATAGACTCAGGAGGGGTGAAAAATGGAAGGAGTGCAGGGTGGCTTTTCTTAGACTTGGATGAGCACACACAAATCCCCTGTTATCTCATTAAAAGGCAGATTCCTATTCAGTAGGTCTGGGGTAAGGGGAAGCCTGCATTCCTGATCAGCTCCCCGGTGAGGCCAGTGTTGCCCAAGTGTCAGGGGCAAGTCCCTTCATTACATGGAGAGCGGGGATGACCACCGGCTGAGCCCCTGCTGATGCCCAGTGCTGTGATTGCCCTCTCCACCTTGGCTTCTGGCACCTTCTATGTGCCTCTTCCATCACTCACATCCTCCCGGATGCCCTCACTCATTGTCCCCAGTAGCCTGTGAGATTCCAGAAGGCCTGGATTTTATCCTATTCACCTTTGGAAACCAGCACAGGGCCTGACACTTCTAAACACTCATGAGTGAGTGAGGAGGTGACTCTCAGAAAAACTGTCCAGATCCTCAAATGAATCTCAGCTGGGGGAACCTCAGACCCAAACCCCAGGGTCCCTGTGTCTATGCTTATCTTGTTCTAACCTCCCTTATTACCCAAGGGAGAAGTCCCAGGAGGCTGAGAAGAAGGTTGGCATGGAAGGGGGCCCCCAGGTGTGAAACAGAGGGACAGGACAGCAGTGTCCACTGCAGGAGGGCTGCTCAGGCCCAGAAAAGCCTTGGTCCTGGTGCCAGCATGTGGCACAATCCTGGACAGGACCCTTAGACTTCCTGCTCCAGGGTCATTCATGCCTATGCCCTTTAGCTCCCCTTGGACAGTCACTGGGCCACTGAGGACAGAAAATTGGCAGCCGGTATCTTCTAGATCCCTGGGGTTCCATGCTGCAGAAAGAACATGAAATGTGGAGCTAAGGGGTGGGCCAAAACAGTCTGCCAGTGGGAACTGGGCAAGTGGCTTCATTGCTGAGACTGTTTCCCTCTCTGTGAAATGGGGATGATGACTCTTAGAAACTCATGGGGCTACTGTGAGAGGGGAGGGACAGGGGCCTTTCTGGGTGGCACTCCACGATCTGGAACCCCAGCCATCTTGTTCCACCTGTGCCTGTTCTGCCCACCCCACCCACCCATGCCAGCATCCCTGCCCAGTGGAAGGGCCCCCTCCACCACCTCCCTGCCCTTTGTCGAGGAGAACTCCACTAGACTGGGTGTCCAAGACAGAGAAAGTCCCAACCCCTCCCGCCCCTGTCTCCCCACATCAGTACAGTCTGGAGAGCTTGCCAAGAGCAGATTCTTTATTAATTTCTCTTTTTTCTTAAAAAAAAAAAGTATTCCTTCAGTATAAAAAATAAATATTTTAAATATGACATTGAATAAATAAAAATAATCTGTCAGTATGAAACATTCCCACAGGGTACATTCATCAAAGAGGAATTTGTCCCTCAAGGCCAAGTCCTATCCAGTAGAAAGGAAGGAGAGAAACACAAAAGGACAAAATGGGGCTAGCAGTGTGGATGGGAGAGATGCCCAGGTACTGGGATCAAGGCGCAAGGGTGGCGGTGACCCGAAAAGTGGGGACATCTGTACCATCTGAAGGGAAATTCTCACTTGATTCTGGCCTCCAACCCCACAGGTTCCGTCTGTTCTAGAGAGCCAGCCAGGTGGGGCTGGGCTCCTTGTGAAGAGGGGGCACGGGGCATCCTCAAGGAGGAGGCAAGGAGAGGGAGGAGGAGAGACAAAGAAACCGGTGGTGCTTTTTTCGCTTAAAATGTTTCTTAAATAAATGAAAGTTCCCAATACTCCTTTCTCCATCCATTGCCAAATGATTTGTCCTACCCCCTCCTCTGCTGACAGCCTGTCCCTCCTCCCTCCTCTTGACCCAGGATGCAGGTGTGGGTCAATACCAGCAGATGAAAAATGAGGAAAAGGACAGCTTCCTGCCCTGCAAAGCTTTTTCCGCACAAAGGCTCCATAATTTCGGGCTGCTGTGCAAAGTGGTCTGCTGGATTGGTTCGAGAAAGGGTGTTAGGGATGGGGACTGAGGAGCAGAGCAGGAGATGGGGGTGGGGGAAGGAGAGGGCAGAGGCCGTGGGAGCCAGGCAGAGAGGTGGTGTTGGGCCCAGGGGAAGAGATTCCCTTGGTCCTTGACCCTCATACCCTGCCCAGGTGGGCTCAGCACGGTAGCTGGTATACTTGAGGGGACGGGATGATGGAAGACCCAGCTGGCCCCAAGCCTTCTGAGTCAGGTTCACCAAAGGAGCAAATTGCTGGGAGGAGGTAGGAGGCGAAGACACCGGATGAGGGTGAGTGTGACCCAGATTAGGACAGCCTCAGAAAACCTGTGGCTGTCATGGTCTCCTCTGCCACCTGCCACAAAACCACCTTGCCCCCCACCCTGCCCCCACCCCTGATGGCTGCCCACGTGCCCCCCTACCCCCAGGGTAAAGTGCTCAGGGAAGACAGAGAGGTGCAAAGTGAGTGCAAAGTACCATAATAGCATTGGCTGAACTGCTAGGACCGCCACCCGCTCAGGGTTTGAGAAGAAGCCAGAATGTTCCTCTTAGCAGCTGCCCCAGCTCGGCACCCCCTCCCTTGCTCCCAGACTGGAGGGCGTTTCTCCACTTGCCTGGCCCCAGCACAAAGGAAAGGATCGGGTTCCCTGCCTGGGAGCCCAGACATGGGTGGGGGCGTGGGGGGAGGTGGGGCAGGAGGGACCACAGCTTCCTGGTCGTGGGCCCAGGGCCTCCCTATCCTCCTCTCCAGAGCAGGGAGCTCCTCCCTGCACTGCTCCAGCTTCCCAGAGGTCCAGCCAGGCCCTCTGGCCCTTTGTGGGTGTTTGGCCCACCCGAGCAGGAGCTTCCCCACTGTGTGCAAGCATGCTGGATGCTGGCTCAGGACGGTTCCAGAGCCCCTCGCTGGTCTAGAGACAGCATGGGAACAAGGAAACAGCAGCAGAGTGGGCCACCAGGACTGCCTTAGCCAGGGTTCCCGGGCACCCTCTCAGCCGCGAATGTTACCCCTCACAGCACAATTCCAAGGAACTGCCAGAAAACACAGTGTTGAGTGAGCCCCCTGGAGCCAAGCAAGATGGTGGCCCCAGGAGAAGGCCCCCAGGCCATCACTCCACAAGCCTACCCAGACTGCCGTGAACCCAGGATCTTGATATCCCCAAATCAGGCCACAGTTGGGATGGGGTATGGAGGCGGGTCCCCTGTCCCCACCCAGGTGACCAGTTCTCTCCGATCCTGACTCTCTTCTGAGCTTCACCGGTAAGGCTTCTTCTACTTGTAACATCTTTGACTTCTGGACCAGTCCCTGTGAAGGCTGGGCCCTGGCTCTTCTATGAGACATCGTATTATTTCTGTTGAGTAGGAAGCAGGGAAAGGGAAACTAACTTTGCCATTTAAAGCACCAATAAGTTAATATAAATAGGGCATCATAATAAATAGACAATCGTGCTGGGTCAGACACACAGCACTCTTGGCTCTCAGGCTTACTAAGACCCTGACCTCAGGTTCTGCTGTCCCCTTGTTCTAGGAACCAGAGATGGCCTCTAGTCCCCATCAAGTACCTTTGTGTGACCTCACGGGACCTCCAGGGGTCCCGGATGTGAGCTGCCACCCTGAACTACCCAGTTCTTCCCATTCCTTCCCATCCCTTACAGACCCCGGCCCAGAAGGAAGACTCTGGGTGCCCTCAGAACCTCTTCACCTAACTTTGCCACCTACCCACCTCCCCAAACCCCACCTCCAGGTCCAACCACCAGATCCTGGCCATCCCAGGCTTCAGGAAAGACTGCAGGGAAGGAGAGCCTGCCAAGGCTCTCAGGACCTCTCTACCTTTCCAAGCCTGAAGGTAGCCTCTCAGCCTCCCTAGAGGCCTGAATCCCAGTGAGCTCATTCTGGAACTTTCTGTTTCACAGTCCAGTCTCTAGGCCTGAGCTCTCAGATCATGCTCAAGAAAAGGAGTATCTTAAACCAGAACTCCCCTTTCTCTCTTCCACTCACTATACTTGTAGGGGCCCAAGGAGTCCTCTGGATCCCAGCTCCTCTGGCCTGCCTGAGCCCAGTCAAACCTTCCAAAGACTCCGGAAGGGGCAGCAAAGGCACCGATGGTGGTAATTCTGTGGGGCTGACCCCTGCCGTTGGGCCCCACAGAGTCACCATGGACAACTCGTGCAGTTTTCTCACAAAGCCCCTAGCCAAGTGGGCCAAGTGGGGACAGAGGTCCAGCCCACAATCCCCTCACCAGCCCAACACCCTGGTGCCTGGCCACAGTCTCCCACAGGAAGGGTCCTTCTCCTAATTGGCACTGCTCGGCTTTATCACAGCCCACCCTAAGGGGAGTGGACTGGCCAGGAAACCTCGGGGGTCTGCCGGCAGCCCCCAATTTGGCCTGGCGATGCTCTGGGCCCTGGCCACAGTCTGAGAGCCGCCTGAGCCTAGGATCTCAGGGTGTTCCCTGCAGGCTTCAAGACCTCCCGTCTAGAAGGCCTGGGCCACCACGGCAATGACCTGCTTATACTTCCCCAGGAGCTGACAGCCCAGCTTCTTCTTCTGGAAGACGTCCTTGCCTGAGGTGTCAGGGCCATAGGCCACGTCCACGTGGGCCACGTGGTACTTGTTACACAGGCGGCAGAGCACATTGCTGAGGAGGCCCCGCAGGATGTCCGCCGTGGCGTTCAGCTTGCTGTGGAGGCTGAGGGCGTTGGGATTGAGGACCTTCTGGTCCCGAGTGATGTTGCCCAGGGAGGCGCCAAGGTACGCGATGATACGGTAGAGCTCCACGAGCCGTGTCTTCTCCGTGCCGTTGGCGTGGAATGGTGGGAAGTCCGTCACATTGGGGCCACACAGCTTGTCCAGGTTGTTGGGGAATGGCTCCCCCTGGGCCGTGTACTGAGGAGCAGAGAGGGAGAGGGGAGATGGTGTTGGGAGTGGTCAGGGTTGAGGGTTCCAGCCCTACTGCCAAGCCTCTGGGCAAGCTCTTGGGTCTGTTTCCTGCCTCTGGCATAGAGACCCAGCTACTTGCCCTCTAGGCATCTCAGGAGCACCATGAGAGCCCGGAGTAATCAATGGTGTGAATGCACGTGGTAAAGCATCAAGGGACTCTCGTCCCCCTCACTCAAGATCGTATGGGGATGGAAAGGAAAACACCCTGTCTCACCTCCTGTGGGTGTGCCACACACACTTGCCCTTTCACCCACCGTACGCGCCTTCTTCCTGGGCGGCTTTGCACCCCAGACACCCACAGCCCACTTTCTCTCCCAACAGCAGCATCTCCCCGGTCACCCCACTTCCTCTCTGTCCCTCATTGGCCTCCTGCTCCACGTGGTGGAGGAATGCCTAGACCAGCAGTGCCCAGCCTCCCGCTTCTCCCCTCAGCTCTGCCCAGACCCAACTGGGCACCTTGGAAAAGTGGCTTCCAGTCTGAGCCTGGGCTGGGGGAGGGGCACCCCCCACATCCCGGAAGCTGTGGGGGGTGGGGGGTTGTTGTTGAACCAAGCCCTTTCCCCATTCTCTCCTGCCAGCTCCAAACTTGATCTCTTCCCAGGCCAGCCACACCAGCCCAGGTCTGTGGAGCAACACCTCCCCACTCCCTCAGGACCTGGAAGGGGGGACTTACATAGAGAATAAAGAGAGCATTGGCACTGCCATTGAGCTGTGCCAGTTGGTTCCTGATCTGGTTCATGAGGTTGCTGTGACATGGGTGGCGGGTGGCGCAGGTGGCGTTGACTGGGGTGATGGGAAGGGGGCTCCCTGCTCCGTGTTTCCAGTGCAGAACCAGCAGCAGGGGCACAACTCCTAGGAACACGCAGGAAAGAGCCATGAGCAGGGTGGCTGGGGTGAGCAAGGGGGCTCGTAGCAGAAGATACACCTCTTCTCCCCAGGGACACCGATGCCCCCGTCCCACCTCCAGCTCTGTCTTTCCCGGGCTGCTTCTAGTTTTCATCGTCTCACTGCATCTGTTTCTGTCTGCTTCCCTCTCTCCAGATCTCTATCTCTGCTTCTCTCCACTCACTTGTTTTTTCCTTCTCTCTCTCCTGAGAAGAGGAATGGGGTAGGACATGAGCTGTTCCCACCTGCTGGGAGCTGGGTCCAGGGTGACAGGAACCATCCAGCCCTTTCCCTCAGGAAGGCAAAAAGCCCCTGAGGCTTCCTGCCCCCTCTGGCTGGAAGACACCATGCCCCAGGCCCAGTGAGTCTCAAGGGACTGAGTGGTCCCTATCTTCCCACCTCACAGGATGGTCCAGATTCTTGTGCATTGCTTCATGCCCATTGGTCCTTTGCAGGCATTAGCTCCCAGATCAGGCTCCCATGGGAACCTGGGGTTCGGAGGTGCGGGTCTTCTGTAGACACTCTTCTCCCTCCCAAACCTGTCACTTGATTCCGCTGGGCGTTTGTCTCCAAAAATTCTGCCACCCTCCCCCATCTCTTCCATCGCTCTTCTCCCAGTGGGGTCATTCTCATATTTAGGACCCTCAGCTCCACCCCAATTCTGCAATTCTGCCCCCTCTCTAACCCCAAATCATCACTCAGAACTTCCTGTCCCCCAGACCTACATGCCACCCCCCTCTTATCTACCACTTGCCCCAGGCGCCAGGTTAGGACAAGGAGAATCCTGGGGTCATGCAGGCTCTCAGAGCCTTGGGGAGGGAGAGGAAATGGTGCAACCAGAAAAGAGAAAAGGGAAAAGGTCGCAAGCAGCCAGGTGGGCGGAGGAGGAAGGAAAGTGAAAGGTGACAGGAGAGCTGGGAGCTGTCCGGGCCTGTTCTGGGTCCCCCCTCCCCCCAGGGAGCCCGCTTCCCTGCTTTACTCTCTGGTTCCCTCCCAGGGGCCTCTCCCAGTGGCCCAGCAGCAGGAGCTAGGGGCAGCAGACCAGTGAGGCTGGAGAACCGGTGAGGCTGGGGTGAAGGGGGGCACTGGAGCACTGGGATCTTCCCCGCTGGGGCAGTGGCAGCCTCAAGTTCACCTCTTTTGGGTCTCCTGTTCCTCCCAGCATCCCCAGGCAGCACTGAGACCCCCGGATGGTTGGGGGGCCCCCACAGCCCCGGCTCACCTAGCAAAGACCACAGCTTTCCAGGCACTAGCAGATGGAGGCGGCACCTGCTTCCGTCCCGGCCGGCCGGAGTTTGCAAGCTGCTCAGAGGCCGGTGCCCCTCCCTGGGAGCAGCCCGGGATGCGGTTGGAAAAGAGAAAGCGGAAAGACAGAAAGAAAGAAAGAAAGAAAGGGAGGGTGAATCAGGAGAAAGCAGGGCGGGAAGAGCAGACGGGAGAGTGGCAGGGCGAGGAGGAGGAGTAGTAGGAGGAGGAGCGGGAGGAAGACTGCGGCGGCCCCCTCCCTTGCCCGCCAACCTGCCGGCCCCGGACGGGATGGGCGCGCGGTGCCGGGACCATGTGCCTGCGCTCGCTCCCGACCGCCACCCAGCGCCTCCAGCGGCCCGGGCCGGCTGCACCGGTGCCCCAAGTGTCCGTGTGTCTTCGGCGAGTGGGTGTCCCGCTCGCGATCGCCAAGTGCCCCAAGTCGCCGCAGCACCCTCCGTGGGGCGCGGAAGCCGGCGCGGGGCGGGTGGATTTACCTGCCGCCAAGACCTTCATTATGGGCTGGACTCCAGAGGGCCTTGGAGGAGACCTTAGATGCCGGCAGTTTTCAGAGGTTCATGCTCAACGGGGAATTTGCCTGATTTATATACTGGAGCCTGTGTTGTAAGACAGAGAGAGAAACAGCTATATTTAGCAGGGATCCCCGTCCAGGAAGTTGTTTGAGGTGCATCATAGGAAATTATGAATGGAAGAAAGTGAGAGTGGGGGGGCAGTGAAGGGGGAGGGTGGAGAGAGCAGACTTTTTTCCTCTTCTAAGAATTTGATTGATAAAATTATAATGAACTCTTCAACAAAACACCCTGTGGTTTTCCTGAGTGGCTTGCCCTAGGAGTTCTTTGAAGTTGGGGAGTGCCAGGAGGGTCCCGAGGCTCCAGTCATCAGGGTCCCCGGGGCTGCAGGTGCTCCAGACAGCCTCGACTCACCTGAGTTTGGGGAGGTGGCTTGACACTAGGCAAGCAGATGGAGGCTGGCCCCTGTGGCCCCGTGATCAAGGGATTTTGGGGGCAGGGGGGAGGAGGCAGTCTGGGGCTTGGCTGGGAAGGAGGCTCCAGGAAGAGGGGCTGGGGCCCTGCTTGGACTTTAGACCGTAATAAAGCAGAACTGGAGTTCTGCGGGCACCTCCGACGTAGCCTCCTCCAACCTGCCCATTGTTACTGGGGCCAAGTGGGGCTTGGAAGGGCATAGGTTGCCCAGAGTCCCAAGGGGTCAGACCTCCTGACCATCACCAGCAAGCCTCCACTGCTGACCACAGATACCTGTGAGGCTGGGGAGGGGGCTGGGAAGATAGGGGAGCAGGGAGGTTGCGGCGACTCAGTTCTTGGGGGACAGCCTAAGGAAGAGCTTCTGGGAAGGTATTGTGTGTTGGGGGTTTACCTAAACTCTTTGTGGTCCAATCTCCCCCTTCAGGGAGCATTTCCATTCTGGAGGGACACCTGGAGCAGAGACCCAGGGAGGCTTAGCGGATCAGACCCAGGTTTCTTCCTCAGGATGCTGAGGGCCTGGCTGGGGAGAAGAGAAATAGCTTGCCCCGCCCCCAGCCTTGGAAGCCCCCTTGGGCTCAGAAAATAATGGTGACCCCCCAAAAAGGTGTTTCTAGAGTCTGTAAGGCAGGGTCACAAATAAATTCTGGTGTCTATCATGGCCAATTAGATTCATAAACATGTGAGGACAGGCAGGAAGGAATGGTGGGGACTAGGGCAAAATGAGCACAGGACTCCTCCCCACAGAAGGCATTTCTAAAAAATGATGTGAAGAAGTGCTGGCCAGAGAACACGTATCTGGCACCGTACTGTCTCCCCAATTTGCCAGGGGCACCCTCTGTCCCAGGAGATGGCCCATTCCCCTGGGGAGCTCACCCCAGCCCTCCGGCCTGACTCTAACCAGGAAACAAGGCAGAAGAGTTGGTTTCCCAAGGCGGGGAGACCCACCACCTTTCTCGGGCCCCTGCTCAACCCCTCACCCATCCTCCATGCATGCTCCCAGCTCCCGCCTCTTGCCACATCCCGGACCTGCCCAGCCACGCGTTCCTCCCTCATCGTGCCAGGACGAGCCCTCGTGCCTGCTGCGGTCCCCCTTCCCCCACACACACTCTGCCCTATCCAGGCTCACTTCCCCCATGCTCTCCTAGCAGGACATGGGATGTGGGGTGATAAACCTGCCCATCCCAGCTGGCACTTCCCGGCAGGGAGGGGGCTGGTAGAGTCCAGTCCTCCTTCCTCTCCCCTCCCCCTCCTTGTCTCTTCCTTGGAAGGCCCTAGAAGACCCCTCCTGGCACTTGCCCCTCCTATACACCTACTATGGGGTCCACATACACCCCCAGGAGGCCCACCTACCCTGGCCAGGCTCAGGCAACCCCACGGCACAAGACATCCCAGCTTATTTCCCACCTCTGACAAAAAAATCCCCCCACTCCTCTCCTCTCCCGTGTGAGGGGCTGACACAAACACGGAGCACGTGAACACAAATGCTGGGCCAGCCTCCAGTCCTACCGCCAATCTCCCAGTCCCCTGTCACCTGACTCAGCCTGGTGCTTCTGCTGTGGACCCCAAGTCCAGGGCCCCACTGTGGCCCCCTCTATGGGTCCCCTTGTTCCCCCACCTGAGACACTCTCTAGGCGCCCTGATTCTCCTGGAGGCTGCCAGCCCTTCCCACCACCCTCCTGCCCCCGTCTCTCCCCTCCAGCCTTCAAAGTAGACTTCCAAGTCCTTGTACTACATCCCGGCTCCCTGGATCCCATGCCAGCCCTACAGTCCACCCCCAGTCACCATGTAATCTCAGCCCCACCCCACAGGAAACAGGAAGTGGGGGCAGAGTCTAGAAGTCACTTAACTCCCTCCCCGACTGGCCCCCCCATGCCTCAGTTCCCCTCTCATGGTACCTGACTTGGTCCGTGCTCCCCAAGAGCTGTGGGCCCCTCGGCACCCTAGGCCCGGCCTCCCTTTCCTGCCCATGTCCAGGCACCACCTGCTCTGGGCCTCTGAGGGGAAGCTCGGGCAGGGTCTTGGAGCCACCAGGCCGAGAGCTGCCTGCAACGTGGCCTTGGTCCCCAGGAATCGGCCGCCCAGACTGCACTCCAGGCCGGCTCTGGTCTCCCGGAGTTTGTTTTCTTCCCTCCCTCTCTATGAGCTCGCGCGCGTGTGTGTGTATGTGTGTGTGTCTGTGTGTGTGTGTGTATGTGTGTGTGTGTGTTTTCCCCTCGGCTTCCTCACGGAAGGCGTCCTCCCTTCTTGGCTGCATGCTCCCGGGGTCGTGACCCCAGGCCCCACCCTGGAGTGGCAGCCCCAGCTCGGCCCCTTCCAGCTGTGACTTCATCTCCAGCCTGTCCCGCTCCTGCACACAGGGCCTGCTGGGGATTTGACCAGCCTCAGGGTGAGGGGGACCATCAGGGTCCACATGGGGCCCTTTTCCGCCGTCCAAGGCCCTGCCAGGTCAGGGCGCCGGGGTGCTGTCTCCAGGTGGCTGTGCCCTACTTTGCTCATCTCCCCTCTCCAGGAAGTAAGCCCACGTGTCGGCCTTCCCAGGGCCCCGAGGGGCTCTTTTTGTCCTACGCACTCTGCCATAGGTGCCCACCCCCTCCTCCTTTTCTGCAGCTTCTTGCCCATCATGCATTCGACCTTCCTAGAAGATCACAGGTGTTTTATTTTTCAGATGGGGAAACTGCGGCTTGGAGCAGTGAAGCCCACTTGCCCAGGGCTGTGCAGAGGCACTAGAGAGGGGTCTGGAACCCACGCCTCTGGCTTGCAGGCCGAGTTGAGACTGCAAGCACCTCCAGCTCTGAGAGGAGCAAAGGCTCATGAAGAGCACATAGGCTGCTTCTTCCAGGATGTCTCCCCTGCCCACAGCCCAGAGCAGCTTGAGTCTGCCTGGTCTTCTTCCTCACTCCTGGAGGGCTTGGATGGGGTCTGAGCCTCATTTGTACTCTTGACAGCACCTGGCTCAGGGTTACACCAGAGACGATGCTAGGTACTTTTTAAAAGCATTTCACAATTTCCAAAAGCCGTCTGGGCCAAATGTCTCGTGGAAAGACCCTGTGGAGCTCTCTGGTCCGTATCGTGGACTTTGGCTTCAGTCAGCACGTTGGAGATTTGGTTTTGCCAGCTCTGAGCAGAGGACTTTGGGGGACGTGAGCAGCTCCTGGCCTCAGTTTCTCCATCTATGAAATGGGAACAATGGCACCTATGCTGTGGGTTGGCCGTGAGGTGTGGGGCTCTGCGCAGTTCTGGGCACTCCACAAGCTCTCGACAAGTCAGCATTTATTCTTACCAGGTGAAGAACCTCACCTCACTGGGAAGGAGGGGCTTTTGTCCTCATTTTAGAAATGAGGACACTGGGCACACTCTGGGGCTGAGGAGGGAAATCTGACAGGAACTGTATCCCCTCTCCTGATGGATAATGAGGAAGGACACCCTTAGAGGCTCCAGCTTCTTCAGGGGCACCCCAGACAGATAAAAGGGGTCCTGTGGGGGGATGGCATGGCACCACTCGCTCTCCTCATGTCCCATCCTGGCCCCTGACTCCCCCTCCCCTCCTCACCCCAGGCCTGAGCTGAGGACAGCATCTGACCCCGGGCTCACCGCCCCCAGGAACTGATTCACCCCCAGGCCCCATCTGAGAAGGAAGGAGACATAGCTCAGCTCAAAGGGGCTTGAATCACCAGCCGCCCCCTGCGGAGCCTCAGGGGGGGATGCGGGGGCGGGGGCCAGCCCCCTGCCTGCCTGTCTGTCTCTTTCCTGGGCCTCGGGGGCACTCAGGGGAGAGGGCAGCCCAGTGGCAGTGGCCATCGGCTGGGGGGGGGGCGGCTGGGAGGTACCCTCACAGTCAGGCATCCTGTGTGGGCAGCCAGTAGTACTTACTCACCAGGTAAGCAGCTCTCTGGGCATCGGGGAATTCCCCAAGACCAGTGACCCAGAAACGGAGTGCTCTGGGCAAGCCCCACTGCCCAGGCCAGCCCCCACTCCTTCCTTCAGCATCCCCTCCCCTGTGCCCAGTGGAGATCTCAGTTCTCTGAAAACTCAACGGGCACCTGCTCTTAGCCTCCAGCAACCCAGCCCCTGCCTGGCCTCGATTTTCCCACCTGGGAAATGAGCACAGGGGAGTCAGATGGGCCTGGGGAGGGAGTTGGAGGTCAGAGGCTATGGTCCAGGACTAGGGCCGGTGAGGGGTGGCCAGAGTTGGCAGGAACAGCTCAGGAATTCTGGCACAGCCCTAGCAGTTGGGAGTCCTGTCCAAAAAGGCAAAAACACCTCATTATTTGACACTTGAGCAATGAAAGTGTCACTACGCCTGTGGTCCCAGCCTGCACCCTGCAGCACCACGAAACCATTGTGGACTTTCCTGTGGCCCCTGGAACCGCTTTGCAAGTCAGCCGTGGGCCAGCCAGGGCTAGGCTGGGGGTAGAGCCTGTGGGTAAATGTGCGGCTCAGAACCAGGAGAACCTGGATTTGAATCCTGCCCATACCACTTACCAGCTGTGTGACCTGGGGCCACCGGGCCCCTCTCTCAGAGCCTTGATTTCCCCTCTGGAAGTGGGGAGTGCTGTGTGTGGTGCTGTCATGAGGGATGCTCAGTGGGAAACACAGACAATGTGCTTAATACACCGTAGTCATTCTAGCCAGAGCTCTGCGTGGTCCCAGGAGGGGTTCAAACCGCAGCTTGAGTCAGGACCCTGGGTCTGAGAGGCCAGGGAGGGCTCCTGGGTCCTCTCAGTCCACAGAGCATGGTGTGGCTCCTGGGGGGACAGACAGCCTTTGAGAACCTTAGCAGGAGAATAAGTAATACTTCCCGCCTCAGGGTCCTGGAGAGCCCAGCTGTCTTTGAGACTCTAGAGGCCCGGGTTCTGGGCTTATAGTCTGCTCTTTCTCACCCTCACCCCGTCAAATCTCTGGCAGGGACCAGCTACACCCCTCAGGGCCAAGCACGAGCCAGAAGCCATCCAGGCCTGCCGCCAGCTGCCCCCATCATTACCCGGACATTTCCCGACTGGTTCTGCGTCAGGAATCACCCCCCTGGAGGTGAATCAGAGTGACTGCATTTTTTTCTTCAATTCTGATAGAAATTGCAAGGGAAGCAGCAGCCCACAGAGCGCTGATCACATCACTGGCAAGGTCAGAAGCCAGCCTTCGAGGCCCACGCTGTTACACGAAGCCCGCTTCTGTGCCGGGCTCTGCCCTCAGCATCTCCATCTTGAAGATGGGCTGCTCTCCTCTCTCATCCTCCATCAGCATGGTCTCTGTGAGCACCTTGACCTTCTGCTCTAGGCGCTCCCGCTAGCCCGAGACCGGAGCAGGTGGGATGGAGAGAGCAATGTTTTCACGCTCTGGGTTTCGGAAGCCAGCCACTTAGCAGCTCATGGATTCAATTCAGAGGGCTGCCGCCAGCACTTTCAAAAAGGAAATGGAAGAGCCAAATCACGGGGCATCGCCCAGAGCAAGGGCAAGTGCTGCTCCACAAACTTTTTTTTTTTTTCCCGTTGTCTCTATGTGTCAGCGGCTGCATCACCCTCCCCGGTCACAAGGTGCGATGTGTTTCTAACTGCAGGTCTCGTTCAAAAACGTTTGTAAGCCACTGGTATCGATGATGAAAGCCTGGCCCTGAGGGGCTGAGGAGTGACTTGCTCAAGGTCACTCAGCGGTTGACAGCATGGGACTCAGGACTTCCATGCCATTCTGCTGTCCCTTCCAGTTCAGGATCCGGCAGGAGGTGCTGTGGGCCGGT